TAAGGCTTTGATTTTAAAATCATCTGATCATCTTATCCTAGCGTAAGAAAGACGGTCCCATCAGCTCTGCAGACTGGGTTTTAGACGATGCGGAACTGGAAAAGCTTTTCAATGAGAAAACAAAAATGATCATATTGAACACCCCACACAATCCAACCGGCAAGGTCTTCCATCGCCAGGAACTGGAACGCATTGCTGAATTGTGTCGAAAGTGGAATGTACTCTGTGTTTCCGATGAGGTCTACGAATGGCTTGTCTTCGATGGCGTCGAGCATGTACGCATTTGCACCCTGCCTGGCATGTGGGATCGCACGATTACCATTGGTTCGGCAGGAAAAACGTTTTCGGTGACTGGCTGGAAAATTGGATGGGCCTACGGACCACACAACTTGATCAGAAACTTGCAAATGGTTCATCAAAATTCTGTCTATACGTGTCCAACGCCATTGCAAGAGGGAGTGGCGCGCAGCTTTGAAGTGGAATTGGCGCGTCTGGGAAAGCCGGAAAGTTACTTTCTTACCTTGCCGTGTGAGTTGCAGCCAAAAAGGGATTTTATGGCCAAATTCCTGAGTGATGCAGGCATGCGACCCACAATACCGGAGGGCGGCTATTTTATGTTGGCCGATTGGTCGCCACTGGCAGAAAAGCTAGACTTGACCTCAGAGCTAGATAGGTATCGGGACTACAAGTTCACGAAATGGATGACAAAGAACATGGGTCTCCAGGGCATACCGCCCAGTGCCTTTTACAGCGAACCCAATAAACACTTCGGGGAGGACTTTGTCCGCTACTGCTTCATTAAGAAGCAGGCTAATCTGGACAAGGCAGCTGAACTGCTGAAGCAGTGGAACTAGAGCGTGTATATATGTAGTTTGTGCATTTAATTTGTTACACCAATAAACGAATTTGTTTTGAACTATCGCATGAAAGTGCTGCAACGATTAATCGATTATCATGCATGCCTGAGCGTGTACGCAAGAGCATAACCTGTCCATGACACTGTTGCATAACCAAAAATCAAAACAAATCGATGGGGGGTTTATGTGTGGTAGCCTTACTCCAATCTCCTTTTTATTTGCAATCCAATAACATGTTCATCCGCACGAAGTACATTGGAATTGTTTGTGTGTGTGTTTCTTGAATGTATTAATTAAACTAAAGAAAAACGTTAAAGCAAACGCCGCTTTAGATATCATAAACGGACTTGAGAGCCAATTCGGGTTTGTCATAACCCAGCTCTTCGATAGTCGGCACACCAAGCTCCTTCAGGGTCGGTGTAATCTTCTCCAGCAAGTAGGGATAGAGGGTAGCCTTCTGGTCGCCACACTTGTCCTTGCAGCCCTCTAGCCACCTGATGGCCAGGGCAATGTCGTTGACACGGCGACAGGCGCGCAGTCCAGACTCAATTATCTTTGGGCTAGGCACCAGATCCATGCCAAGCAAGTCGTTCATGCCCTTACGAATCTCCCAGCCATCGATGCCCTCGCGAGAGAAATATTTCTCGTAACGCTTATCGAACTCCTCGGCCGATTCCTCGGTGCCGTGGAGGCAGCGCACGGCGGCGATACGCGAGGATGTAATTCCAACGGTGCCGCGCATGGCGTTGGCGAGTTTACCGGCTGTAATGCGCAACATGGCTGTCCAAGCAAAAACAATTCAATAATTTAATTTTTGCAAAATTTTTGTTAAGTAACAGCTCAAACTCACTTTTACGCTCTTGCTCTTGCTATTTTTTCACACAGATGACAGAACAACTAGTGTTGAATAGTTTAGCTGATTATTATCGAATGTGTATAGATGAATGCTGCCAGTGTTATCGACACAGTGCTGTGCAATGCATTAACTGTCAGTCGATAGGACGAACGTTCTCGAACACTGTGTGACTTACTGAGCAGTCATTCTCATTTGTGCCCGACAATTTGGCTGAAAATCGCATTTTCTGCTGAAAATATACTTGCGAGCAGTGACCGCGGTTTATTAAATTAACATACAGCCAACGCAACAACAATAAAATGTCGACAGCAGGGTAAGTGCAGTAAGAAAATGCAGGAATATCGAATTTTAATTGGCTCAGTTGTCGGCTGCTCTTTTTGTGGCTTCTTTGTGCGACGCGTGCTTTTGCTGCGGGGGCATCGGCGGCGTCTATTTTCTGAAAAGGGCACATCTTAGAGTACTTATTTTTTGATAGTTGCATGTTCGTATACACTTCTCAAGTGTGTTGCCCCCAGTGATATCGGTGGGCGTGTCCAATGCGCAACTGCATTGTATTTTTGGACAGTGCGCGGGGCCATCAAAGAGTTGCTGACATTTGAGGTTATGTTAAGGTTGGCGCTAATTTTGTTTAAGAGTGTTGCCCCAATGGTTTAATTTTCACGGCATGGACTTTTCATGCAAATTAAAGGCCACATTTTTGCATAAGCTTGCACTTTGGATTCACTTCTGGAATAGACGATGCCTTGGTTGCTATGACATCAAGTACCATCGATACGATAAATACAATAAGCGAACCGTTTCCAACCCGCGCTTCAGATGATTGCTTGTTTATTTAAACAATTCTTTGCTTTCCATTACAGTCCAATTCCGCCACCAGTTTCGTGGGCTCAGCGCAACGACTTGATCTACGTTATTATCGATGTGGAATGCAAGGACATTGAACACAAGTAAGGTCTACTCGCTTGAATGAGAAAGAGGAGCATAGTTCCAGTTTTTTGTTTTTTATTTTTTTTTCAGAGTGACAGACAAAAGCTTCACTTTCAAGGGTGTAAACGCGCTGGATGCCTCCAAGAAATACGAAGTCACATTGAATTTTTTCCATTCGGTTGATCCGGAGAAGGTGTCAAGCAAGAATATTGGACGCTGTCTTGAATTTACAATACCCAAGAAGGAGAGCGGTCCCTACTGGCCTACGCTGACCACGGATAAGACTAAATTGCATTTCCTGAAAGCCAACTTTGCCAAGTGGCGCGACGAGTCTGACGAAGAAGAAGGTAATTATTTCGAGCTTCACACTTGGCTTCCAGATAAAGGTCGAAACTCAATATTTTATATATTTTTCAGATCCTAAGGACAACGGCATGTTTGGCAATTTCCTCAATAGCCCGGGCGGCGATTGGAACAACAAGTTTGATGATTTCAATGTCGACGAAGACGACGACTCTGACGATAACATACCGAGCCTGTCGCAGAACGATGAGGATGAGAACGAAGGTGGGGAGGGTGACAAAGAAAAGAAGCCAGCTGCTTAAGCAGCTAGCTGTATGGGCATTTTTGGAGTAATAGTCGTAGCGTTAGCCGAGGCCCCTATACCGTTAAGTCACACACACACACATAAACCCGCACACACCCACACACGTTCATAAGCACTTATTCCAAAACACAAACTTGAGCAGAAAATACGGTATGTTTACGTAAACAACTGGAAAGGAGCAAGAGATACATTAATTTTACGCTGGATTTTCGGCGCAACAACAACAACAAATGGAAAAAGCTACAACCAATTCATTGCGAAGTTTCATTTGCAATTTATTAACTTTTTGTTTCCTGTAAATAAAGGGAATTAAAATAAACTACAAGTCAAAAGGTCAATCTTTGTTCTCTCGCATGTAATTATATGGGCTTGCAGCATACACAAATTGCGATAGGTTTACTGTAATTGTAGATGTCTGGCAACTCCGGCAGCATTGTCGCTTTAGCAACGCGGGCAAGAAGAAGCACACTTTCAAATTTTGTTGCCCAAACAAAACATGCAAAGTAAAAATAGTCATTCGACAGCTGCCACTAGCAGTAAATTCACATTGTATATTAATTATAATCGTACATCATACAAACAATGGCCGTACAAAGTGGCAGACTTTCTTTTGTAGCCGAATGGTTTCATGTCGAAGCGGGAATAACACGCACTTATCTATTAACATATCATTTAAGCGACAATGCAATCGAAGTGGTAAGTTTTTATTATACACCACAGCCGCTCCAGCCAGCTAAATTCCCGTTTACAGTTTGATCAGCGCAGTAAGAAAACCTTTTTGCGCCGCACTAAAATTCCCGAACTTACTCCGCGCGATTTCTTTGTGGGCTCCAAGATCAATGTGTTTGGGCGTCCATTCGATATTGTCGACTATGCGGACGAAATAACACGCAACACCTTGGCAAAATACCGCAAGCGGTAAGTCAATTTAATTGGTGTCTGTACCTAAGCTGTTTTTTGTAAGCTAACAGCGTTTTACAGCGGATTTGTGCTGCTCAAGAGTGGCATGTGGCCAAAGCACTTAGGCGAGTTTCTTACCACGATAATTGAGAACAAGATCAATATTAACAACGCTTTAATGGTTCAGTTTTCGCCAAAAACGGTCACACAGTTCCTGGCCAGCAAGCAGGATGATGTGCACACCTCGTAAGTATTCTGAAGCTTATACTCATAATAACCTTACAAACTGTTTCAAACAGTGTGCTGATGAACGAGCTGCTGACAGGACCAGCTATTAGCATGGAGCTAATAGGTGACAATGTTGCAGAGATCATGTCTGCATGTTCAAAGTACAACACAGAGAACGCCTCAACCACCATCGTTTTGTCGCCTAGCTTACAGCAGCTGTTTGAGAGCGAAGAGGTTCGCTATGGCTGCTATTGCCCGGAACGGGAAGAGAATGTAGCCAGGGACCTAAAGTTCGTCTTTGAGGAACGTCACAGCATTATCAAGGAATGTCGATTCAAGAACAGTACACTGGCCATTATAAAGCCGCACATCATCAAGGACGGGTTACTGGGCCAAATCTTAAATGAAATACTTACATCTGGCTTCAAGATAACAGCCATGCGCATGCTGCTCATGGCGCGTGTTAATTGTGAAGAGTTCTACGAGGTCTATCGTGGTGTTCTACCTGAATTTATACCTATGGTAGCTCAGCTAGCCAGTGGTGTATGCATGTGCCTGGAAATAGCCAGCGAGGATCCAGAGAAGAATTCACATCAGGAGTTTCGCAACTTTTGCGGTCCCATGGATCCTGAAATTGCCAAACTGCTGCGTCCGCACACGTTGCGCTCCAAGTTTGGCATCTCCAAGGTACTGAATGGAGTTCACTGCACAGATCTAGCCGATGATACAAATCTGGAATTACAGTACATGTTCAAGATACTCGAATGATTTCAATCACCATCATTTTTATGTTTATTTGTTGTCATTCTTCGTGGGTGTATGTGTGTAAATAAATTACAAGTAATTATATTAAAGGATCTATTCCTCTTTCAGGCTGTTCCGTTTATATTGGTATGCTCGAGTTTCCGGCATCCAGCGGTTATCCTTAAATGACTGTCAAAACTGAAAACACTTGACAACTACACTTCCAGACATTTCACACTTTATCGGAACTTGAAACAGGCGTTAGATTTAGCCAATACAATACGGGAGCACAGCAGTTGCCACTACACGCTCCCGCTCCGAATGCTAGAACTGGGCAGATTGTCCTGCACATTGGGCAGCAACACAACCAAATCTCTTGCATGAATGTCGCTCTTTCGCTCCTGCAGTCCATAGTCATAGGCCAGCAGGGCAAAGATTATGATGCACACCAGCATCAGCATAGCATAAAAGAAATACTCAGCCTTTTGAGAGCTAAGCGCATTTACTTGGGTAACTAGCACCACAATGAGATTACCAAAGGCATTATTCAAAAACCAGGCGGCAGTGACAACAGATTTCATTGAGGACGGCGCCTGGGTAAATGCAAACTGCAGACCCGGAATGGACAGCAACAATTCGCCCAACATGAGCAGCAGAAATTGTGGAAGCTGCCAGGCAATGTTAATGCTCTGACTTGGCGATTCCTAAAAGAAACCATTATAAATAATTCGAATTTCGAATGAATTATAAACCCACCATAATGCGATCCTGTAGAATACCGGCACAGAAGAAGGCGCCAGCTGAGCAAATACCGCCAATGGTGACGCTATGCAGTGGCTGCAACTCCCAGTGGAACAGTCGACGCAACATTGGAGCGGTCACATATTGCCATAGGGGAATAAGCATAAAGAGAAAGATTGGTCCTACGGCCTTTGCCTGATCCGGCTCTATGGTAACGCCTAAAACTGTGGTGTTCATCATGGCTGCCTGAAACGTCCAGCTGGAGTCCTGCTGAGCGAGCAGCGCAAAGTAAACAGGCAGCGGAATGAATAGCTTGCTAATCTGTATAGATAAATTGTCATTACATGATTGGTTGACAGCGAATCATACTCACGCGCAACACTTTGGAAACATCCGTCACAAAATACGCATCGTATGGCCCCACGGCATTGTGCAACCAATAGTTGCATCTCTTGGCGGACTTGCGACGTCGCCACTTCTCTAGCAGCGCTGCTTTGATGCAGCCCCAGAATTTGAAGAGTATATTATCACCAGACACTTTCTCCGGCTTGTAAAAGCATTTGCCCATCAAAAAAATGACTGCGAAAGCAATATTAAATGACCTGGAATGAAGGATCACAGTTCGCTATGATACTTACCCCAAGCCACCATGAAGGAGCTTCCCAGCGTGCCGAACACAGCCGGATAGCATGTCGTCTTATCAAAGCATTGCGTGTTTGCGCGCACCAGCGGCGGCAGAATTTTGCTCAAAAAGATTCCAAAATAGTAGACAAAGTAATAGAAGGAGAAATACTCTGTCAAATGGGCGGATTGCTCGGGAAGCTTAAATTGTAGTGCACCCAGCGAAGTGATGCAGGCGCGTACAGATCCATTGCCCACAGCTATGAAGGAGATAGATACCAGCAAACTGCAAAGAATATATGTATTAGAAAGGCTCGTAGATTCCTTATACACCCTACTCACAATGCTATGACGGGCAAGCCCATATATGGCACTGATGTCATGGTCAGCAGAATCCAACCAAAGCCATAGAGGAAACAGAATCCCGATATGGTGCGAATATTGCCCATATAACTGTCCGCCAGTATGGCCCCAATAATGGGACAGAACTGTCCAAAAAAGTTAAATATGTGCAACACAATCGTGGAGAAGCCTTCCGTAAAGTTGAGATCATCGCGCAAAAAGAGCACAAGTATGGCTGGAAAAATGGGTAAGGGAGGTCAATTATTATATGTATATTATTAATTGAGTTAATTTGGTAACCTTGTTGAAAGTATCGGTTATTCAGTCTATATTTAATGTTATATACAGAAAATACAATTAATTTTTGGTCTTTGAATATACTTCGAACTTTATACTGGTTTATTGTTAATTTTTTAGTTTAAATATACGCTTAATATCTGCATATATGCTATTCATGAACATAACAAAACATGATTAAAGAGGTTTTTCCAAAATCTACAATTGTCAAAAATCGTATTTTATTTAATATCTCACCATATTTTAATGATAACAAGGTGTGGTTGAGATTACGATTCAAATAAAATTTGAAAACAGTTGAGAAAATATCATTGTATCCGAAATATGCACGGAAATTGGGTTTGTGGAAGAGACTTACACTTTAATTTCATATATTCAAGCTTTTAAAAAAAAAAGTTACTATTTATTTAGTATATATTCCAACTGTGCAAACAGAACCACATGCATGTATGTACACAGTATATATTTCACATTGGATTCAATGCTAGTTGGCTCCTCTTCTTATTATAAAATTTAATTGCTCAAATTGAAAGACTATAGACCATGATATAGTCCATTAGTAACTGTACTGAAATCTAGTCCATTTTCTATTACAATCCACAAACAAAGTATAATAAAAAGAGTGCCCGCTGAGAGTTACCCGGAACACCGGGAAACGGGCTACTTTTCCAAAGACTAGTTTCCTTCTATACACACACATAAATGGATTTAGGGTATAATAATTCAATATATAACGATCAAGATGTAACATCTCTTATTAAGAGAAGACCTTGTGATCATCCGCATAGGCTATCAATAAGACCTCCCATTGTGCATGCACTTCTGCTGTTACTGATAAGCTGGACTTTTGGAATATTTCGACAATACAATGGGAGATTACTGTAAACGACCTAAGGCAACTGCATTGTACTGGCATAATGTGGGTCACACATCACATATGTGCTCACAACTTGGACTGTCACCATTCAATTTCCACTTACTGCGCATGCCATTCGCTGCAAAGGCCTCAAAGAACTTGGTGGCCAGTATAAAGAACACGGCTCGTGGGTATTTGTACTCAATCCGTATATTGGATATGGGCGCAAAACCATAGTTGGGTAACGAGCTGCGTGGTTTTCTTAGCTTTTCGTGCTCCCCAAAATCAGATAATGAACCAACCGTTGTCTGGGTGAGATCCGCAAGTGCAGGCAAAGCTATGAAACCAAAGAGAGAGACAGTTGATTAAATCTCTGTATATAGCTCCCCTATCTTATCGTTCGAAACTTACTTTCTTCGCTGCCGATTTCCGTGGTGCGGAACATTTTCCAGGTGCTTCGGCTGCTGCTCAACGTAAACAAATTCAACAGCGTCTCGGGAGTAACTTGTTTGTCTGTTTCTGTTATCTTAGGAGAGCTCAAGTTACTAGCGCTGTGTCCGATTCGTTAGCCTTGCGGCTTTTGTGGGTCGACTGTGGTTTTGTGTCTCACAATGTGCTTTATTGTTTGTTACGTACACCCACACCGAGGTCCGTTGCGCACTACAGCAGAGAAGCTACTAAGCGACAAGATGTAGAGCCGGCGACTGGCTCGCTTTGTAGACAGCGTGTACTCAAGAGCAAACATTGCGATAAAAGCAATAACAAAGCAATTGCATCTTGAGCCTACAAACGAATGCGACAGGTTATCTCTGACTTTGCTAGTCATGTGCCTGGCCGTCGCAGTGATAAGCGAAGTCGCGCTCAGTCAAGTAAAGCGAGTCACGGGACTAGCCCTGCGATAAGGATGCTGCAACAACATTCAGTCACATTTCTTATTTTACAATGGATTTTTATTAAATTAGGCAGAAAAGTATTTAGCTCGGCACACGAAACCAACTAGATAATTAAAACTAAACACGGATCTGGATGATACATCGATGAAATTCGCATTTGCAATTTGGTTGCATACAGATCGAGATGAAGGCCAACAACCAACAATCATTGACACTTTTTGGTGTGCACTTCAGCTCACACCAGCTTTTTAGCCTCGAAGAAACTCTTGAGATGACGCATCTGCCAGAAGCCCATGCAGACCAGGACCACAGTCTGTGCCAGCGACCACCACAGCACACGCGAATTTGTGCTTTCGCTTGTGTGACGGAAACGCTCCTCCCTATAGCGCTGATAATTCTGCTCCTTTGTGATCTGTTCGACCTGGTCGAGCAGCTGGCGTATGCGCAACTGCAGCTCGGTGAGTTTCTCTTTCTGTGCCACATTAGCATAGTCGATAGCATGCTCTCCCACCTGAATATCTAGATGCACGCGAAGCTGGGCGCCATTGAACCAGGCGGTGCTGTTGGAATACATGCAAATGACATGCTCGCCGGGTGTGTGCGACGTAAACGACATGCGGCCCTGCGAGCTGTAAACGCGCGACAGAATCACCTTATCATCGCTGTCCCGCACCTCCACATGCATTCCAATACCAGGCGAGGATGGCATAAAGCCATTTGAACGCGGATCATACAGCTCAACCTTGTAATTGACTGCAAGAGAGAACAGGTGTCAGATCTTAGGCCAGCAGGCAACGACGCTGCTTACCAATCACAGTGGTCTCATCGGGCACCTCTTCAATGAAGCATTTGCGCTCCGTTTCCGATATGTGAAAGTATAAACCGCAGGCGCTGTGTAGCGTGCATAGCACCAGGGCCAGGCAAATTAATTGGTTGCGCATATTTTTGAAGAAATTCCACTCGAACTTCGATTATTTGTATTATAACAACTAAGCTCGCCGACACGTCATGAGAAAAAGGCAAAGTGGCTACATTGACAAGTTTCCATTTGACAGCTGCGAGAGAGCTGCCACTTGGCAGTCATAAGCCACATACACACCCATACAAATAGCAATCACGGTCAGAACTATCTGGCATCGCTGGCAAAACAGCTGAGCGATTTGTTGACGTTTTACATTTTGGGATTTATAGTGCAATTTTAAACAGATAATGGACCTGATATTACTCGTTGGTATTGCAACAGCGCTGCTGCTTATCCTGATTACCCTTTTTTTCCTGCAGAGTAAAAATACTAAGAACGGTAAGACGTAAAAAAATTTTAATTAACATAACTCGCTACACTTTCCACTTTCCAAATAGAAACAAAGGCAGCTGCGCAACCACAACGTGGCGTCCCACAGCGTGCTCAGGAAGGCGTACCGCGACGTGCCCAAATAGCGCGGAATCAGCGCAATCGATTACGTCAGAATCAAAATGCTCCTGCTGCCGCAGCTGCAGCTGCCCCCGCCGCAGCCGTAGACTCTGATGACGACGAAGCGGCTGCTGCTGGTGACGAGAACGCGCTGCGTGTGCCACAGGGCGCTGTGCTAGATGAAAAGATGGGCGCTAAGAAACGCGCCAAAATGGAGGCGAAGGAGCAGAAACGTCTACAGCGCGAACAAGAGCTGCACGATCGCGAGCAACGAAAGGTGAAGGAGGCCAAAGAAGATGCGGAACGAAAGCAACAGGAGGACATCGATGCGGAAGTAGAGCGCAAAAGTGCCGAGGCTGATCGCTTGGCCAAGGAAGAGCGCGAGCGCAAAGAGCACGAGGAGTACTTAAAAATGAAAGCAGCATTTAGCATAGAAGAGGAGGGCTTCGAAGAAGGCGATGCCGATGAGAAGGAGAGTCTTTTGGCCGACTTCATACAGTACATTAAGGATAACAAAGTCGTTCTATTAGAAGATCTGGCCACAGCCTTTAAACTAAAAACGCAGCAGGCCATCGATCGCATTCAGGAGCTGCAGGAAAATGGCACCTTAACCGGCGTCATCGACGATCGCGGCAAATTTATCTACGTCTCCGAAGCGGAACTGGCCGCCGTGGCCAAGTTCATCAAGCAGCGCGGTCGTGTATCCATTGCCGATCTGGCGGAGAGCAGTAATAACTTGATCAATCTAACGCCTGTTGCAGCTGGCGAAAGTAGTGTCTAATGAGATTTGTTAACCATTGTAAAAATTACATAAATAGTTGCAGTGTATATATATATATATATAAATATATACAATCGTAAGAGCTAAGATTCTGAACTTTTTACTGTATGGGCTGTAAAAGTGCATACTATTACGTGCTTTTGGAAAGGTTTTAAAATGCGATTGTCCCAATTTGTGCGAGGCTAAAATGGCAGCTATAACATTATTCGAAAACTTCGACGCAACAGCGAAGCTGCAAGTATGAGCTACGAAAGGCGTGACTAACACCTAAAACAGTAAACACAGTGCATACTTTTGTGAGCAATATTTATAAGATGTCAATTCCGATTGCAATATTTTGTGCTGAAAATCTCGGCTAAAAATCTCGGCTTGTTTAGGAAGGTATTTTTTTTTTTGACTCGTAAAACTGTATAGACAGACTACACAGTTCAAGGTAGTCCATATTATTTTTAAAACTTGAATGACTGTAACGCTAACAAATGTCTATAACAGACAGAAGGTCAGCATCAATAGTTGAGTCGATGTAATCATTTTCGTCTATCCATCCGTCTGCCTTTATGAACTCACCCATTTCAAAAACTTTACAAACTTAAAATCTAAAAATTCGGTTTTTAGAGTACATCTCTAAGGTTTTAAGAGCTAGAGTTACCAAATTGGACATAAAGTTAGTATAGCATATGTGTAGTGATCACATATATATATATGACATATATATATATATATATATATATATATATATATATAGTATATACTAGCGGCTATTGCCCGGCCTTGGCCATGGAATGTTTCGTGTTCTAAAAATATATTTTAACTGCATCGAATAAAGAACCAAGAGTTGGTATCAACGGTTTCCTACCATGCGGTAAGAATCCTGATGCTGAAGAATAAACTTTCGTTTCGTGCATTTGCCACCCAAGAGCGTATCAAATAAATTCTCTCAAAGATCTTTGAAAATGAGTATGAAACCGATCGGACGGTAAACAAAACACTTTCATGCATCCGTTTTTCGCCAATTTACCACTGTTGCGGGTGAAATTTCCCAAAACGCTGAAACACGTATTCATTAAATTCTTATATAGAGCTTTGAAAATAAGTTTGAAAAACATCGGACGGAACTTAGAACTTAAACAAAAAATCCTAGAATTGAACCTTCCGACGAGGAAGCTTTGATTTTGCGAAAAATTTGAAACACGTCTCATGTAATTTTTCGTATAGATCTTTGGAAATAAATTTGAACACGGAAAGTTACCCATCAAATCTTTGACCCCGATTTCCACCAATGACAAAATGCATTTTTCGAAAAGTGTGAAACACCCCACAAATGAATTTGAATAAAGATCTTTGAAAATAAGTTTGAGGCCGATCGGATGAAATTTCCCGAAACCCAGTCTTAACGTGCACCTTCATCACATAAAGCAACTGCAGTGGAAATTCCAGCTTCCTAGCTCTTACGGTTTGGGCTGTGCGTTAATCACCAATCAGTCAGTCAGGACAAGCAGTTTTATATATAGAGATTTAATTTGATTCCACAAAATCAAATGAATAAAAATTACATTGAAAACGGAAATTGATAGCGTATGAATTCCTGTATATGTACGTTTGCATAAACACTTTTATATAGATTACAATTCCATATAGATTAAATGGTATGCTGTGCTGTGTGTCCGTTAAATTAAAAATAATACTTGATATCTTTACCCGCTAAATAGTAAAAAGTGTATTTTTGGCTTTAGCTTGGCTAAGCCTTGAGCAAGCGCGTGCTCTTTTTGGTTTTGGTTGAAGTAGGTCATTCCCAGCTACAGCACTGGTTCTTGTTTATCTCCGCAATTATGTGTTAACAGATTCTTTCTTTTTTGTTTAGTTGGTTTTTTTGGTAACTGTTAATTCAGTAACCAGCGCCATTTTGTGCACTGTGGGCCAGGATCTGATTGGGCTGGACTTCACTGGCGGATTTATTATTATCAACAGCCAGTGCAAGCGCACCCGCTGCCTCCTCCTCGGATATGTCCTCAATCATGCATTGATTGCCGGAGTTGACAGCCGATGGACTGCGCAGCGGTGTCGTCTTCGCCGACACCACCTTGGCTCTATTTCGCAACATCATCGGATCAGAGACACGCAGCGAATTCTCCAAGCCACCAAAACCCTCACCGCTCGGCCGCAGTACCAGATAGAGCAATATGTCTGAGATCGAAATGACGCCAATCACCTTGCACTGATCATCGACAACCACCAGGCGATGCACCTCGGCGCACACAATACGCTCCATGATCGTGTACAGCGACTCGTCCAGATTGCACTTTTGGTCGCCATCGAACCACTCGTTGCAATGCTCGTTCGCCTTGCGCAGCGAAACATCGAGATCGTCACAGATCTTCGCAGTAGCGGGACTCTGTGAGGGATATAAAACAAGTTTTATCAATCTGTGGGACTAATTCAACTTCAACTTCAGATCACACCTACAATTACATCAAACTTAGCAAAAATGTCGAGTAGCCCAAAGGATTCGATCTTGATACATGTTTTCTCATCGGGTATCTCATTGTTGTCGGATGTTCCGATCTTCAGATCGCGCAAACTATTCTTCATATATGCGGGCTGTGATATCGCGTTAATCTGCAAGGAAATGGCAAATTACTACATATATAATATAATATGCACAATTATTAATGAAATCCATAAAGTGAACAGAGCACTGTTTCGATATGTGTCATAGATATGTGAGGGCAATTATCCTTCTGCCTATTTTCCAAAGTTTATTTTTCTAATTTTATCTTCCAATTCCTTTAACGTCTCTTAATTTCCTCAAAAATTAATCGTTATTATCCTCTCCAAATCTGAAAAACGGCAAGGCCGAACATATCCATACTTATGCATTTGTATTTACACCAATATTCGAATTCACATTTTTTCATACTGTTTGATTCTGATTGGATACCAATAAAAATTTTCACCAACGCGAACCTTATGGACCTATTTTTTAGTTTGTGGATTTTTATTAATTCATTTGTGTATGGTTTGTACTCACATACAATAGCATGAGCCTCAGTATGCTTTTTTCTGTCAAAATGTACAAAACATTGCCATTCTCTGGATTGATCACAGGCAGTCGATGAATGCTGCTGTCCCTGAGAAGTTTGATAGCGTCAAAAAGGGAAGTGTCTGGTCCGATGCTGACCATGGGCATTACCTGGTTGTGTAGCTCTCCTAAAAAGCAGATCAAACTAAGTTTATTAATTTGTGCAATGAATATTTATAAAATAATACAGACTGCACTTTGGGTCCAGTTTTTGATCCTCCAGCTCATCCATGGCCGAATTGAGTGACTTATAATACATTTGCAAGATCTTGAAAAAGTCAGTGATGGTAAGCGTGCCCACAAACTGTTGCTTCTCCAATTTCCAGTGCCGGGTCGCGCGCATACCATTACAGACAAGGAAGGCCAGGAGCAGAGACTGTCCCAGCGACCACCAACACATGAGCGAATTCGTGTTCTGGCAAATGTGAGTAAAACGCTCCTCCCGATATCGATCATAGTTCTGCTCCTTTGTTATCTGTTCAACCTGGCCGAGCAGCTGGCGTATGCGCAACTCCATATTGGTTAGCTCCTCTTTTTGCGCCACATTAGCATAGTCGATGGCACGCTCACCCACCTGAATATCAAGATGCACGCGAAGCTGGGCGCCATTGAACCAGGCGGTGCTGTTGGAATACATGCAAATGACATGCTCGCCGGGTGTGTGCGACGTAAACGACATGCGGCCCTGCGAGCTGTAAACGCGCGACAGAATCACCTTATCATCGCTGTCCCGCACCTCCACATGCATTCCAATACCAGGCGAGGATGGCATAAAGCCATTTGAACGCGGATCATACAGCTCAACCTTGTAATTGACTGCAAGAGAGAACAGGTGTCGGATCTTAGGCCAGCAGGCAACGGCGCTGCTTACCAATCACAGTGGTCTCATCGGGCACCTCTTCAATGAAGCATTTGCGCTCCGTTTCCAATATGTGAAAGTATAAACCGCAGGCGCTGTGTAGCGTGCATAGCACCAGGGCCAGGCAAATTAAGTGGTTGCGCATATTTTTGAAGAAATTCTACCCGAACATGGACTATATTATAATATAACTAAAAGAATCAGAGATTACACGTTGCAGCCCAATTGGAAAAACTGCAATTTCGCCATATTCTTATGACGCAAAAACGTCTCCTGAAGCAGCGTTACCATATCGTTGAAAACTCTTAAATCTATCAATATTATTGGCAGCTCGTTGCACATTATTTGCAATAATTTTCATATATCTTCAAAAGATATAAAAGATTATTTGAAAAATAAAAATGTAACTCACTGCTAAATGTTAAAATGTATAGCATTATATTTGCAAATTAAACAAATCTGTAGTCTTCGTAAAATTCCAATTAGAAACAAGGCGAGCTCTATAGAACAAATTGTTAAAAAAACTGCCAAAACTGCCATATCTCGGTAAAATCTTCATGCGATCAATTAGTTTTCCGATTCATACATAACAAAGACCCATTTTATTCTTGAGTTTGGCTCCTGTCTGGTGTCCACAATATTCAATATATCAAGACATAATTAATTCTTTTGAAAAACTTTTATGATTTTTCTTCCGTTGACCTGGGATCCTGGTGTTCTGCTTCTATAATTTTCCAGTCTATCCCTGATATTGAATATACCTTTAAATCATCGAATTATTTTTGGCGTAAAATTTTCTCGTAATTAAACACTACCCAATTAGAGGGTATAACATGTACAGCTTAAGTAAAGAGTCAACTTATTCCATATCATCTTCTTCGCAGTCGTCCATGTCTTCGTCGTCGTCCTCCTCCTCATCACTGGTAACATCTGGATCTGAAGCTTGTGCTCTGCACTTGGGACATTGACAAACAAATATATAATTTTCGCGCAACGTTTTATGCCTGGAATGGCGACTGCGCTCCAGCTGGCACTCATCCAAATACGAAATGCATATCTCATCGCCTTTCTGTATGGGCGCCACAGCCTTTAGTACGACTATGTCGTTGGAGTAGGGAAACGTGGACTGTGCATTCGGAACACAGCTGTGATTTATCTTGCTCTGCAGTATGTACAAACCAGAGCCCTCGTTGTTGAGGAATTCGCCAGCAACTGTTTTAACATTGAATTTTAATAAGCTGGTAATTAAAAATGCGAAATGCAACTTACAATCGCCCACTTTGGCGTAGAGTTGGTCGATGACCTTATCAAGATTATCCTTGTCTGCATCGGGCAGCGGCAAGTCAGATACTTTGTTTACCCACTGGGCCAGAACGCTGGTGGCAATGCCCTGGCTATTCGTGCCCAAAATACCCATGAGGGTCTTGAACGCATCCGGTGTGGTAAACTGTGAAGTAGAGTGAACTTCTTAAAGCTGTATGAAACGCAAGCTTTAGCCAGCACTTGCCAAAGCGAATTCCTCATCCTTGAATGCATTGCAAAATGCCGCATATAGTTGATCCATCTGCTGCTCAAAGTTCTCGCCCAACATCTTGTGATAGATCTTCTCTTCGCGATTGACAATCAGCGCTTGAAACGATTGCAGTTGCTCCAGGAACTCTGGCTTATTGCTGCTCTGCTGATACATGGCCATCAGACGCACAATTAGCATTATTGTGCCCGTCTCTGGTGGATAGTGCATCTTCTTCCATGTCTCATTCAGCACGTTGATGGGGTGTGTGTCGTCCGCCCGAAAGGCGCCCATGCAGGCCACACGATGATAGCGCTTTTGAGCCTCTACTAAACAGTCTTCCGAGCAGTAGCGCACCTTGCAACGTGCACACTGCGTAAATTGTGAAAACCAGGCAGCGGTGGGATCGTGTTCCACTAGGGGCACCATGACTGCCTGGTTATTGGCCAAACGGCGCACGTTCTCCAGCAGTGTCTCTAGCTAAAAGCAATCCGGTAAGAGTGAAGAGGCTGCCAGTTGTCATTCGTACATACCGGTCGCATACAATGATCACAGGCCGCGTAGCCGTAGGCGATATTCCAGGAGAACTGATGTGATACGAACGGCTCCTCCTCGAAAATGATCTCATCGACTGCGAAATTTTTTGTTGCTATCATGGCACGACCCTTGCCGGGCAGCTCCCGTATCTCAAAATAATTCATGTTGTCGCCAAACACAATTGCAATTCGGCACAAACACAGCCAGTTAAATGCTCTTTGAATATGCACGTGCGAGTTGGTTTGTTGATTTTATATCGATACCGATAATATTTAAGCGCTTGATATGGCAATATTGTTGCAATAGTTTTATGTGCATATAGTAATAGGTATCGATACTGTTGTGAAATTCTTTTTCTATTTGAAATGAATTTATTAAAGCAATAATAAGTAGCAAAAAGAATGCACAAAAATTTTACATATATTTTAAATGTATTTTTCTTACTTCTTTGACTGCTTGTGACTTTTGCGCCTTAATTTACGTTAGACAGTGATGGGCTCATATTTTTTATCGCAGCCTATCGATAGTTATTCAATTAAACCGCCAAGCAGCCGCCACACGTATCAATTTCAAATGTCGTATGACTAGCTCCGTATTTACTATTTATATTAATTTGTAATGTTGCTTGTGTATATATAGGATAATGCCGAGCACTGTGCCAAACAAATCAGTAACACAAATATAATTAATTTTAACTGAAAAAAAGTGAATGAGCAAAACCAAAAACTATTATAAGTTGGCAAATTAATAAGATTTTTTATTTGTTAATTCGCTTTGCCGATAATGTGCTTGTTAATGGAACCTTGAGACAATGTTTGAATGCGAATCAAAGAGTTTTATCTATATTGCCTTATTACCATATTTTTTCCAAGTGTTTAAGTTAATTGCGAAGTTAGAAGTAGCTCTCTCAAATGAAAAAATCTTCAAAACTTAGCGGTTATCTGTTCCTTTACGGATTTGAAAGGAACACACTTTCTAGCATCCGTTTAGTCCAAAAATATTAAATAGAAACAACTGTTCTTGTATGACTTGTACTAAACTATTATATAATAATCAATTACATAATTTAAAATTTTAAGACATGCTAATGTAATTTGTTGATTTTGTTTTTTTTTTTTTGTTTTTAAATATAATATATATATAAACATTTTTGTTAACAGGTGTGTATGTGTGGTTGGTTGGGTTGTTGTTGTGTTTTTAGTTGCTTGTTGTAAAATACATAATCATAATAATAGTTTATAATTGTAATCATATTTTCTCTCATATATCATAACTTTTGCGCCTAACAACTAATAATATTCAAATATAATTGTTTTTCTTCTCTGAATATATGTTTTTATTGTTTATTTCCTTTTTGCTTGCTCACTTTGTGTTTGTTTTTGGGTTTGTTTGTGGTTTTTTTTGTTGTTTAAATTTACTGTTTATTCACTAACCAGCGCCATTTCGCGCGCCGTGGGCGTGGCCAGCGTCTGGCCGAGCGCCGAGGCAGCGGAAACGGCGCTGCTTAGCCCATTGTCCTCATCCCCATTCTCTTTGCCTGTTCGCGCCGCCGCAGAAATTGCGACAGCGGCTGCCTTTTTGCGCTCCACTTCACGATCCTGATGCAAATCATCCTCTTCATCATCATCATCGTCGTCATCATCATCATCGCCGCCTACATTATTGTCGGCTTGCTCATGCGCCTCATCGGCAAAGGACACTTCGGCTGGACTGTTATTGCTATCACCATTGGTCGTCGCCGTTGACGCTGCCGCCAGCTCATGCTGATTATTATTGTTGGCTTTGTCTTCACTGGCGGATTTATTATTATCACTATCAGCATCGCCCTTCGGCGCCGGCGTTGGCGCACCCGCTGCTGTTGCCTCCTCCTCGGGTATGTCCTCGATCAGGCTGCGATTGCCGGAACTGGCAGCCGATGGACTGCGCGGCGGCGCTGTCTCCGCCGACTCCACCTCCGCTGCTTTGCGTAATAGCACGGGATCGGAGGCACGCAGCGAACTCTCCGAGCCGCCAACTCCCTCACCGCTCGGCCGCAGCACCAGATAGAGCAATATGTCTGAGAGCGAAATGATGCCAATCACCTTGCGCTGATCATCGACAACGACCAGGCGATGCACCTCGGCGCGCACAATGCGCTCCATGATCGTGTACAGCGACTCGTCCAGATTGCACTTTTGGACGCCCTCGAACCACTCGTTGCGATGCTCGTTCGCTTTGCGCAGCGAGACATCGAGATCGTTGTAGGTCTTCTCGGCAGCGAGATTCTGTTAAAGGATTAAGAGAAAGGTTAGTCAATATCAACGCTGGACTACTCGACTCTACTGATCAACTCCAGTCTTCACTCACAATCACATCAAACTTGGCATAAATGTCAACGAGTCGTCCCTCGGAATCGACCAGCGGCAGCGCCGAGACGCGTCGCTCCACAAACTTCTTGAGCGCTGTGATGATGCTGGTGTTCTCATCGGCGGTCTCGATGTTGTCGTAGGTGCCGATCTTCAGATCGCGCAAGCTCTTCTCCATATATGCGGGCTTTGGTAATGCATTAATCTGCAAGGGAATGGAATAAGGCTTTATATTATAATATGCAACATGATTTTGATATTTGTTATTACATTTGTTAATGGCGTGTACTTACATATAAAAACAGGAACCTCAGTATGCGTTTATGTGTCAATATGTACAAAACATTGCCATTCTCTGGATTGATCACAGGCAGTCGATGAATGCGGCTGTGTATGAGAATTTTGATGGCATCGTAAAGGGAAGCGTCCGGTCCGATGCTGACCAAGGGCATCACCTGGTTATGTAGCACACCTGAAATCATAAATCAAAGTAAGTAAATAAATATACTCTATGAATATATATTTATTTATTTAAATAGAATACTGACTGCGCCACGTGTCCAGTTTGTGCTCCTCCAGCTGTTCCATGGATGCATTGGGTGACTTATAATACATTTGCAAGATCTTGATAAAGTCTGTGATGGTCAGCATGCCCACAAACTGTTGCTTCTCTGAATCCCAGAGCGGGGCCGCACGAACACCATTATAGACCAGAGCATAGAAGGCCTTCTTCACCAGCAGCTGAGTGTCGAAGACGACCAGTTTTGCGGAGGTGGGTATCAGATCGTAACTCTTGTGGAAACGAAAGAACTTAACAAAGATCTGTGAGTCGTCCTCCTCTGAAATAGATAAAAGAGAGCACAATGTAAGAAATGGCTTGAGATTAGGTTTCACTCTTAATGCAATATCTCAATTTTAGCAACAGCTCCCAGCACCTTCTTTGAGCAGTTGAGCAAGCAGACGCTTCCAGCCGTCGGAGATTTGCTCAAACTCCTTGATGCTCTCCAGTGGATAGTAGAGCACATCGGTGGGTCGACCGCTGCCGCCAAGAACCAAGCGGCCCGCATGATTCGAGTAAAAATGCAGCTGTAACATGCGGGGAGCGGTGCTGCGCGGTCTAGCGGGTGGCTTGAGATGAGCCACAGCGAGGCACCATCAGCTCAATGGAGGCTGTCAATTAACTGGAGCACACACAATCGATTTGATTTCACAACGTTAATTGAATGTTTAATTTAGCGTTTAACAGAAGCCTAACAGAGGCTATACAGAGATGCACCGTTCCACGCGCTTCTCACTGTTACGAAACGGTAAACACGTAAAACAAATGACAAATGCACCGAAAATAAAATATTTAATATTTATTTTCAATTGTTATTCTGTTTGTTATTCAGTTTAGCAACAACGACGACAACTGCTTGCTGTGATATATATATATATATATATGTGCGAAAACTAGCGATAAATTTGCTTTTGGTCTGCAGTTTAATAAATTACATTTAGACATTTTAATTAACATTAATTTAGCGTAGAAATAAAAGTGTGTGGCAAGAACGAGCAACAGTCAAAAACAAATTGACGAGCGCAAGAATAGTTTCTACAATTTTCGCAGCTACAAAATGCTCTCAATCAAAACATTTTCTACGACCATTTCACGCAATTACCGCTAGAAAGGCCCCTAAAAGGGGCGACGTGCTCCTATGTATACGAATAAACATTGAGGCGTTTCGTAGGGTGTTTATCAAATAAATTGATGTCATCTATAGTAGAAAATTCAAAAGCCCCTCCACCATCAACTGTCAACGGCTGATAAATGCAGAACCCGAATCTGAACAAAATATTATGCATTGTCTGGGTATACGGAGCGCCTTTTAAAAAAATTAGGTAAATATTTGTGCCAAGAAATTAATTAGCCCGCGCAAACACTACTAACCCCTCTGTTCCTGACACGCGCCCTCAACGTAACCCAGAAAATAGATGAAGATGTACAAGTATGCGATATTATGGTTTATGGCAAGTGCCTTTGACTTTGAGCTGATGGAGAAAGAGGAAAACTATTTGGCAAATCGGAATATTTAGAAATTTGGACATCCAAATGGATCAACGTCAAGCCCCAAGGGGGTTGCGTTAAATATGGAAGAAACAGCAATTTTCAAAATCATTTTCAAGATATGCCATCTTTAAATTTATGTTACTTTGTGCTTTTATCACGATTATCTATTTAATCATTTTTGATTTATTGCGAAATATAATTCCATTTAAAATATACATTTAAATCAGAGTAACTGTAAATCAATTACAATGAATACTTGAACTCAGAGGCTCAAATCTTGCCAGTATTCAAATATTTACTTTAAGTACAATTGTCAAAGTTCTTTGGTCACCTTCGAAGTTCCATTGAATAAAAAAATGGAGATTATTCCTTTTCGGACTCAAATCCTACCCTTTCCATATTTCTACAAATCGAAATGGTATTTTTGTTGTCTTTAAATCCATAAATTTGCTTCGTATTTATTTTTTCATCTCGCTCAGATATTTTTTTTTAACAAATTATGCGTTGGCCGCGTTGACAAAGCTGCCAAAAAGACAGCACAAGCGAAATCTAAATAAAAAGCGAAGGTTGCTTAAGTTAAACGAAATACAATCCTAAATATATCTATACACGAAATATGTTTTGATTTTTAAATGGAGCCTTCAAAAATGTTTAATGAATTTTGTTTAAAGTTTGTTGCCAGGGCAAAGCGTTAAATGCAAAAACTATGATAAAAAACGAACAAAAAAAAAGAGGCAGATAGGAAAAGGTGAAGGCTGTTCCCATCGCATTGTGTGTGTGTGTGTGGGTGTGTGTGTGTGGGGGGGGGGGGAGGGGGGGTGTATGCTATATAGCTATATATCTCTTTGGGTATTATCGCTTGAGCATTTGTTGTTGTTGCTGTTCTGATTGATTTTCTTCTTCGTTTTTGTAAATCGTTGTTTTTTTTTTTATATTTCTTTTTGTTTTAGCGCGTCGCGCACAAGTTAATTAAAATGCTTTGAGTTCTTTTTCATTATTCATTGTTGTTGTTGATTTTTTTTTTTTAACAATTGCAAAACAATTTCAATTGTGGCTGCTGCTGCTGCTGCTGTGGGCTGGCGTCGCGGCGCCTCAATGAATATATAGACGAATATTCGTATTCGTCTGAGCGATTTCTTTCTTTTAAATTCTTCAACAATGACTAACGTCTTTTAGAAGGTGGGGGTAGCGGGGGCGGGTGTCGACTTAGACCTTAAACTGCACTTTGGATTGCACGATCGTTAGTTAGTGTCTAACATTTCGTTGATATATTCTTTTAACAGTTAGTATATATATTTGCTTCTTTTTTCTTTTTAGGCGCGGCGCTTTGCTTGTTTATTTGTCGCCCGTCCAAACGTCTCGAGATTTTATCATAAACTGATTCTACAGTCTGTTGCTGTTTTTGTATATTTCGCTTTTCCCACTGGTCGGAAAAGCGAAAACTTTTTCGCGCATAGCGCAAAACAAAACAACACAAAAACAAGAAAGAATTTTTTTCTTGAGCGAGCAGCCGAACATTATATACCCTAGCAGTAATTTGGTTCACATGCCAAAAAAAAAATAAAACAAACATATTGCTAAAGTACTTTCGGAAAATTTGAAATACATTTCAAATTCAATGAATATGAACAACAACCAAATTCTTGAATTAAGTACAAACAATTCATTGCAATTTGAATGCTTAAGATAGCGTAAAATGTTACAGGAATTGAGTTCTCATTGGTTCTCAATACATCCTAATACATAGAACATGTTCTAATTTCTGAGTTATCTCTGCTCTTTCAAAGCGTTACATATTCCATGGCAAAATGTAAACACTCTCCGTAAGGGTATACAAATCTACAGACTGAGAGAAGAAGGCGTGTACACCAACGAATATTTAAAATCAATTTCTAAATTACTCGCATCTCGCCTGGTGCTGAAATAAACAACCAAAATTGCGGAACATTTTTATAATCTATAGCGGCAGATCCGTACCAACTATCATATTGAATATGACGCTAATGATGTTCATGAAATGCCTCAAATTGGCAACAAATTGCACATATTTCAATGGGAAAATGCAAGCAGAGAAGTCAGACAGTGTGAGAGAGAGAGAGAGAGAGAGAGAGAGAGAGAGAGAGAGAGAGAGAGAGAGAGAGAAATAGAGCGAGAGATAGGAGGGAATTGCAGATACATCATTTTTGGGCGTACTTAGGAGCTTATAATTAGCGCAAATGAAATGAAAAACAGTGAGATGTGTTCGGCATCGACGTCAAATAGATACGCATCACTAATAGACCCTATTCATGTACCTAAACATATGCATACATATAATATATGCGCATGCAGGTATATAACTATATAATGTTTGTGTCGCCTGGACGCCTACGTAAATTCTGTACACTTAATCCCTGTGATATATGATTTTGATTAAATAAAAAAAAAAATATATATATATATATATATATATATTTTGTATTATATATCTGTTCTTAGTGGTTAATCGACGTGTGCCGACGGACAAAAAAAAATTGCTGTCTCGGCCTCTTGATCAGCTGCCAAGAGTGGCTGTTAATTTATTTGAACGATATTTGAATTTGTTTAACAGATTTCACCCTACCCTCTGAGGGGTGCTATTTCGTTTACTTACCGAAATCTGATAGATTGACTTTGTCCAAGAAGGGGTCGGCCCGGGGTAACTGCAAAGAAAGAAAAAATATAAATTTGTTATAATTACGTTACGTAATAAGACATTAACGGAATGATGTTGGTTTTTTCAAGGAGTAGAAGATTTTCATTATCAACTTTACTCAAGCTACTTTAGGAACTAATACATACGTAAAAAGGAGAACATAGATGATTCCATTACGTAAGCAATAAGATACTTATGTTAAAAGAGCTTAAATTTGTATTACGCTAAAACTAGTTTACAATACGTAAGGATATGTTGCGGGTGAATATTTTGCTTATGCTGCGGTAGGCAAACACCCACGTATGTTAACGTAACGTTTACATCAAGTATAATATTCAAATGAACGTTATGTGAATACTTAAATGTTTAACGTTTTACAAAAATAAAAATATAAACGTATTTACAATTCAAATACAATTTACAATTTAAATAGTATATACATACACCAAAATAGATAAAAACTGTCAGATAAATTACTCAAATAGAACATGTGTACTAAGTGAGTTAACAAATATTATTTCATTACATTGGCTGGTGGCAGCCTCCATTATCATTTCCAAGGTCCGATCGGGAGCCCGAACAAAAATGTTTATATTTGGGTCAAGCAATGATTGTCACGTTTTCAAATTGTCCGATATCTGTAAAGCTTATGTACACGCCTATATAGCTATGTGTATGTATGTAGATATGAATGATAGCGAGCAGTTCTCAAAGACGTAATCGCTTAATCACAAAATGGGCGACGCAATCGCAGATAAAAGAATGCAAACTTCAATTAAATATTTATGAACTACTCCCTCCCTCCTTCTCTCTCTATCTCTCTCTCTCTCTCTTTATTTCGCACTCTCTAGAATTGTTGTGCGTTCTGTGTGCATAAATATTCGTATATAGTATATCAAATAATAGTTTCATTTAAAATTAGCATTGAAATGTGCAATTGTGGAACAAGCTGCGTTCGTAAGTGCCATAGGAACACAGGCATTTGAACAGTTTGCAATCTCTGTAAACAATTATACAGTGACTAAGAGAGGGAGAGAGAGAGAGAGAGCTTATAGAGCTCTCTTCTCTCAACAAGCTCTCAGCTGCTAAAAATTACCAAATGCGACAGACGCGTCAAGGCAATTAAATCGACACTGAGCGCCAGCAAAGGCTGTTAGGCAAAATAAGGTGAATGCAAGATAAAAATGCCTAAAAATGCAATAACAAAGAAGCAAAAACAAAATGCTCGATAGCTTAGCTGTCAACCATATCCCAGTATCCCGCTCTTGCTCTCGCTCTCTCGACTTACGCTAATTTTTCGCCCTGACTGCAATTGTTGTTGCTGCTGTCGCTTCCATTGCTCGATCTGCTCAATGCTGTAGTCGCTGCGTCGCCGCAGCAACAGGCACTGATGCACCGGAGCGGGTGACGAATGGCGGGGAGAATTGTGGGTGCTATGGCTGCTGCTGCGTCGCTGATAGACAAGCGACTGCTGCAGTCCAGTTGCAGACAGTTCACTGTGGGCAGCTACCGGTGAATGACCTGCGGATAGACGCTTGCCCGGCACCAAGCCATTTGCAATGCTATTGCTATTGCTGTTGCGCTGCTGTTGCTGCGACAGCGGCTGAAGCGGTTGCTGCTGCTGTTGTAGTTGTTGGTTATTAT